GTTTGTATTATATACTTTTCGTGGGAAACGGAGAAATTATGACTTAGTTTTGTCAGAAGGAAATTAGTTCACGGCCAATTGGGAAGTTCTATTAAATTAATTTCTCCACACAGATGTTAGATGTCTTAATATTTTTCCAATACTTTAGTAAACCTGATGGGTATGGAATTAAGAACAGATAGTATTAAGTCAGGTATCGTTCATATCACTATGCGATTTCATTCGGTTACTTCTCTTCTTTCTCTGTTTTCGCTCCACTCCTTCGAACTTGCCTCTCGATTTCAATTCTTCCTCTCGACCTCCCTCGCGCTCTTACCCTTTTTTCGGGCCTCTTTTATCGGCGGTCCGCGGCTCGTTCCCGTTCGAGGCCGGCGGGAATTCTATGGATCGGCGGCTCTCGAACGGTAGTATCAACAGGCTGCATCTAGAGGGCTGATCAATCACCGGCTGCTTTTGTTCCATCGGGCTTTCTAAGCCTCCTTTATATCGTCACGTTACCACCGCTATGATCCCCGCATTCATTATGCCTCCCCCCTGTACTCTCTGTCCTCCCCTCCCGCCCTGTATCATCGCTCGTCCGCATTTTCCCCCCTCGTTCTGATCCATTAGGAAAGATTGCATTTTCTAATCCACCCCTTTGCATTATGCCAGGCAAGGTGTTGCGCATTGTGCGGTTGACCCGGTTCACTGTTCTCTGCGCGAACGGGAAATTAATGAGCGAAACGAGACGAAAGAGAAAGACAGAGAAAGATTAAAACGGAGGGATAGTGATCAGCGTGAAAAGGAAGGGAAAGGGCGTGGAGCGCGGAAAGAGACGCTTCTGTTCGTCCATTTGGAATTCCTCGACGAGAAAGAAGGAGAAGAACCAAGAGACGTATCATACACGTCGCAGCGCCGGTGTAACGATCCAGTTGCTCCGTCACGCGAGAAATTTACATGACGCTCCAGAGTATTCCGCGTCAAGTCGATCGAACGGCAATCCCAGTGCGTACCGTGAAAGAAAAACGACGTCGGATCGGTGGTCGCGCCAATGAACGAGTTCATCTGAACGCGAAGCGAACCGATCCGCTTTGGGTTCTGCATCATCGTGTAAGAAAGTCGATTGGTAGCGAGGGCCGATAGGCTTAATAAGCGTTTCTCGAGACATGTTGCGAGTACGCTGTATCCACTTCGACGAGGAACGTTCAATGTCGCGTGGAATTTCTTGCTGATCGCGCATGCTTCATTGCGCACCGATCGCGAGCGTGGACGAAGGATTATGAGCAGGGATTATCTTGCACAGATTATTTCATCGGTCGTTGGTATTTCTGTTCGAATCATTTAACTAGTATACAGGATATCGAACTGAACAGATTCTCCTGGAAAAATATGTGTGAACTGGAATTTCAAACGAACGTTTATGGCGAGTTGTAATCATTTCTGCCTGCTCCATACTTTATTGATACGTGCATGTTTGTTCGTATTATTTTTATTTAAACAACACACCTTAATTTCGATTTGTAAACCACACTTCGCACGGAGCTTGGCTACTCTCCTTTGCTATCATCCATTACTTTCGTATTCCCAACCCCGTGCCAATTCCAAAGGACGAACAAAAGTCGAGGCGGACGAATTATCGAATTGAACAGCGACAAGAGGGAGTAAGGTCGCGCTCAAATTACACGCTTAAACAAGTTGGTCGGTTTCCGCGTCCGCCGACTCACGAACGCCTACCGGGCGTTTGCTTCTACGTCTGCGACGATGTTTGTACCTCGCTGCTTTTCGTTTGACGTCGACGACTCGATGGATAGAAAGGGATGGGAAAGAGAGAGCAAGAGTGGGAGAGAACTACCGTAGGTAACTACGGCTGATTCGGCGGCACGATACCGGGTTTCGAGCGAGAGGCGAGGTCCGTGAAGCGCGAGACACGGCCGGGATACGAGAAAGAGATGGCAGGAAAGCAGCAGAAGTCCTGTAACTCTGAAACAGAGTTAGCTGATGAGTCTGTGGGTGGCTGGCGTCGTTTGTCGGGGATAAAAGGATGGAGCAACAGAGAGGAACAGAGAGGAGAACCGGGACAAGGGGGTGGAAACAGAAACGGAGAGAAAGAAGGACAGCTGCAAACAAGAGCGGCAACCGGTGGGAGAAGGAACACCACTTGCAGCATTCTATATAGATATTTTCATGGGCGTACGGCGTCTCTCGTTGCCTCGAACCACCCCCCGCCCTCTTGCCTCTACCCCAAACCTGTTCCTCTGCCCCTGCCACCCTTCGTCACTCCTTCAACCGCTCCCTTAGCGAGTTACCTCTTCGTTACCGTCTCTTTAGTATCACATGAACCAATAAACATCTTCTTTGATGTACAGCGCATTAATTAGTAAACGACAAAATTGTATTTAAACAATGGCGGAAGATTCGAAGCGGGAGAGCGAATGAGAGAAGCGGAAGGGTAGACAAGATGAACGAGGGAGGAAGAGACAGAGACAGAGACACAGAGAGAAGAGGAGCAAAGTAAGCGTACAAACAAGCGACGGAAGCTTCGTCGTTACCGACGAGGTCGTTTGGCACGATGATTCGCAGTAAGATCTTTGCGAGAACTGGAGTGCGCCCCTGCTTTGTGGGAGGGGCGGGATAGCAACGAACGAAGAGCAAGGCACTGATAGATCTTGTTAAATTCACAAGCCAACCTCTTGGCTCGTGCTCGAATAATTGTTAACCGTAATGTTCCTGCCTCCGTGGATGCTCGAATTAAAGACTTAGAGTCTTCTTGTTTGCCAGATTGGTGTAATTAGTCCTGGGTGCAACAATTACTCCGAGTATCCTGATCAAATTGACCTACATACACACTACTATACCATTACACGTACTATACACTCTTTTTCTTATTGTCTTAAAATCGATACAAGTCTCATGATTTCGGTTGCAATGTATTTCATCCATCCCCACGGTGTTTCACGGTGAATTGAGTTTTTGTCGAATTTCTTTCGAACGAAGTCGTTCACGCAACTCCCGTTTGATCGGTCGTCATTGACGTTAAGATTCGACGTCTTTTCGACGAATCGCGCTTTGACCGTATCAACCACGGCGAAAAAGGAACAAGGCTTGTGCGGAAAGGATATAATGGGGAATAGTCCTTGAACCGTTCGAATAATAAACGGAAGGATGCTGATTCGCCGAGGGGTGTGTCCCGCGCGACGATTCATTTATAAATAACCGACGACCCAACCCGCCGGTCCGGAGAGAGGCCAACGCTGATTGCGAACATCCCACGTCTATTTGTACAGCTTAACCGAAGCGAAACACAGGCCGAATATCCCTTTAAAGGATTACATCTGTATGGCGCTTAGTAACGGACGCATCCGATTCATTTATATCTGTCAGAGGATAAGGGGAGCTATTTAAATCAATCAAACACGGCTCCGCGTTCGGATATGCGGTCGCATATCCGCAGGTATTAATCGACAATGTGCAACGGGAGCGGACGCGTACTGTGAAATTGAGGCGATAGGAAGATGAACGAGGAAGGTATGTGAATATTCTTGGGGCAAAGTCTTTGCGCTGAAACAGTTCTCTATAAATGGCAGAGAAAGGTTGATTAGCATATACGTATGTAGCTTAGATAGACTTTTTATGGAATTAATTTTAGAATCGTCTTTAGAAATTAGAATTACAGAATTAACGAAGGTGATTGTAAGTAATTAATGCGTGGTAAGAACCATGGCACGCAACAATAAGAAAAAAGATCTTTATAATTCCTACATTAAGATTTTTGAATATATAATTTCTTTAGCAAAGGAAATGTTTTTCTCGCTTGTTAAAGAAATTAATTGAACACGTGTATTAAGTGTATAATATAGAATACACCGTGACTTATTAGCATATTGAAAAATTGTACATATTGACATTGTACATATTGTGACTACAAGATTTCTATCAAAGATTGATTAGGTGTAATTAAAATTAATAGTCGATTATTTTTTCGATGAAGAAGGTCAAGAAGAAAGGTCACCTGTCGATTCGAAGTGGCATTCAAAAGAAGACAACTTTCGCTTTTATTTCTGTTTCCATCTCTTGCAACTTTACGTTTAATTTAAGGCTATTCACTTGCTTTTATCTGGGAGTATATCTTGCTATATTTGTTGAATAATTACTGTCATTATCAATCGTAAATGTACTGTGTTTTTAACTATGTAAAAATGGAGAAACTTTATACGTTTGCTTATTATACTATATTTCTATTCACTACACGTATATTTGTTTAAATTATGTTATTACTATTATTACTGTCATTATTATCATTACCATTATCCTCTTTTTAACCTTACAAGTTCCAACAAGCATAAATTGATTTGTTTTTTTAGCCGAACAAATAAACATCCCCTAGCTTGGTAAACATCCATTCTCTAATCTAAACATTTTGAACATAGTTGGCAATAATTGTGGTCGATTTTTCTTAAATTTTCTTTCACATATTTATTTACACATGATCTTAAATTTTACTCCGTAAAGATAGATTTCAGAATTCACACTTTCTGCTTTTCTCGATAAATACCAGAAGCCATTAATGTCTCAGACACTTACCTTCCAACAGCCTACATAACACAATCAAGAGTTACCTCTCCTCTACAATCATATATCAAACGAGTCTAAACTTTCTTCGCCGTACCAAGAACCAAACTCTTCGACGTTGAATGTTTACCGATCTTGCAGAACGCTATCAATTAGCCGAGAATCGAGCTCGTTTGCTTGTTGGCGAAACGTCTGTCCGTTGAATTCTTCGCGATATCGTCGCACGCAGGAGGGAGAGACAGCAAAGACGGTCCTCATCCCCCGAGTGTTGGTGTGCTCGCGTTCCCGCTAGCACGCTCCATGCTGCCTTATATGTATAGATTCATCCCATCCGCGGTCTCTGTTTCTCTCTATCCGCGGCGAAACACGGCTATCGGGGATTTCGTCGAAGCCCCGGCTTCCCGATATGTATACACGCAGATTGCAGAAACTCGGAGAAACTTATGCGGGAGAGAGCGATCGTTACCCAGGAGGCACACGGGGAACGGAAGCCGTAATCCCGGGGCACGGGCGCGCGCGGCTGTTTGTTCTATACGTAAGATCTGCGCGGCGCGCTCTGTGTATCTTGGCCCGCCGATATCTCCTCAGTCAGCCAGGAATATTTAGTCAGATGAGGAGACTCGAACAAACGCCTCTAAGGCTTTCTATTAAGACGACTCTTTGATGTGAGCTACCGTGTACGCCGCTTTGGTCCCAGCCTCTCTCCTCCAACCCGTCCCATTCCTCGTACTCCTCTCTCGCACTTCTTGCTCCCTCTGTCCCTCGGTTTCTACCTCTCTTTCGTCGACACGACACGGGCTGTCCCTCTTTCACCCGGGTCTTCGAATCCCTCCTGTTTCCCAGCCGTTCTCTTCTCCACCGCCCCAAATCTCCCACCATCGGCTACGCGAACCGAGACACGTACCCACCTACGGACCAAAAAGGGGTTCTTCTCCCTTCCTCTTCCTCCCTTGTTCCCTTTCTCTCTGTGTATATTCGTTGGTCCACGCGTAGCTTCGTATCGTTTCGACGTTGCGCCACTCCCTCCCGCTATTTGTTTCCAGTAATTCAGAAATTCGCGACTCACCCCATCGCGAACGGCGACCCTCCGTTGCTCGTCCCTTTTGCTGACCGATCGCCGCACCGATGCTTCGGCCATGGACACGTCGCTTCCTAAATTCTCTCTCCTCTCATTTGTAGGGTTTCAGCTTTCGCTCCTTTTTCGCTCCCTGATTTTTTCTCGGCGCATCTTTCTTATTTTCGATATTGTATTTTGTAAACGTGCCTCGGAGATGGTTGATGAGAGAGGGTGAGAGAAGTTTGTGGAGCTTTGATGAAGATTTGGTTGCCTGGTACTTGGTGTACTTAATAAGGGAAGGATGCTTCTTTTCTGATTCTTTGATTGGAATTGATCTTTTGAAAAGTGAGTTAAGTGCGTTTGTTGAATGTAGATTAATAAATTGAGAATGCGATTTCAATGATACTTGCAATTATTAGGTAGAATACTTTGAAACAGAATAGGATGTTACATTCCGAATTGCTTTTCCTTCTTTGAATCCTTCACACCATCGTTATATCGAAAATATAACGACGCAAAATGAATTTGACAGCGCACAATTTACAAATCGTAACTTCCAATGCTTCGTATATGTAACATCAATGACATTAAATCAGTCGACATTTCACTAAATTTATGCGCTTCTATATTACAACACGAGCTCACGCGCCCTCACGCCTCAGAGGCTTTCTTCTCAACTGTGCTGATATGCAAACGCTAGCAAAGGATACCATTAAACGTCACCTCGAAACGATCTCACAGCCCCTTACATTCGGAGTCATCCGACTGATCATTGGGATTCTAATGAGAACATTAATTTTCGCGTAAATCGGAACCGGTCCCTTCGTTTTCCAGCCCTTTCGCGAGCAGCAAAGCGGGGAGACGCGGTTGCAACGGTAGAAAAGGTCGCTAGGGGCAGACCATCAGCTCGTGCCCGACCACTGGCAGCTACTTTAAATTCCGGCCGAGGCACGACGTCTTAATAAGTGCGGTTACTCCGCTGCTTTCCTCGGGGATTTTTCCGTGAGTCTGCGGTGGCGCGCATATTGCGCGCATCTAAACGAGACGAGCGGGCCTGCACGCGTATCGTTGTGCTCGCGCACGCCTGCGCTGAGCATTGTGGTCGTTGAAATGGCTTTTGTGGCCTGCCGGGCATACCAACGGTTTTCCATCAACTGAACTCTGTTAACATTGATGTCTGCGTGCATTGCGTTACCGCTGTCGTTGCCTCGCCCGAGCTTCCTCCGAGTGATTTTCTTCTTGACATTCCGACATTTGTGCCTCCAGGAATGCAACGGAGCACAATGTGACTGTACGAGTGCTACCTTCTGCTTAAAGTCGATTTTAAAACACATTTTGTAACGGACAAGCAGTAACAGTAATTTATTCGTGATAATGAACATAAATAATATATACAATACCAAAAATTTCGGTATTCTGTACTTTAGTGAGAATAATTTTTCAATAGGAATTGTGAGAAATCTGATCTTCTATAATTTTTCGTAAGGAAATGCGAGCAATTTGATATAGATAAATCAATAGATATTAATTAATAATTAACACGAGAAGACGGACAAGTATTTGTTAGGATTATATTTAGCAACGTTAATATTCAGACAATATTTTGACAACCCTTTGAATCTGATTATAACCTACTATTATAGTTAAATACCATGACTATTTGCATGATAATGCCACGTAAGAGCATTCTAAACATCTCAAGGGACATATGTGCTGGAACAGGGATCAAAGGGTTAACGTAGTGTACACACCTCGTGAGACTTTCTGTTCAACTCCATTCAAGTACGTAATTGCAAAGTACACAGACGGAACATAACTACAAACAAATCAATGTACAGATTACGCTGCATCTACTATGTTTTTATTTAAAATGTAATCATTACGAATAAATTAATTATTGAATTAGTTCTTTGATAATCTCCTTCTTCTGTATCATTTTTCTTTAAAAAAAGTTGCTCTTTAAAATTCTATTCTATTTAACTCTAAATCTTCTCTATGACTACTTAACCATCATACGCATATTCATATCGACGAAATCCTCTGCGGCTCACACCCACATCAATCTTAAAACTCCATTTACACCTTCGTGTTCTTCAGGATTCGTCCCTCGTCCCTTCACTTGAATCCAACTAATGTATCCCTGGTACACGTTGATACTTCTCGGTTCGCAAATTCCACTCAGGCTTAGTGTATTTACGACGCGAGTACACAAGCACCTACTTATATACACGTAGAGTCGAAGGAACAAGTGAACGACACGAACCAGAAAAACAGGTAGGATCGGACACGCGACCGATTCTGAAATTTGTGGATGTGTTGCAGAAATCGATTGTCGGTGTTGCGCGTAAATGGAACGCCGTGCCGCGCCGTGGATCGGGTTTCGTCAACTGGATTAACTTCAGCCACGAAACGATGCCTGATCCGGTTATAATGGCGAGCGGTGTCGGATCGAGGCTGCGATTCGCGAATAGCGTTTCTAACGTTCTTCCCTTCCCCTCCCTTCTCTTGTTTTTCAACGCCTCTCCCCTCGTCGCTAGACAACTAGAACAAGTGGAAACGCTTCGATTTACGCAAGCTGTCAAACCCAGGATACTTGTAGTCGGAGTTATTGCAAAGGTGTTTGGTTTTAATTAGCAGAGAAAATTGCGTAAAGCGATGGAATGTTTTGTAACTGGAATTGCTACTGGTATTGTGATTCGTAGGTTTCTTTTCTGATTAAGTCATTAATTTTTCAGCTATTCGTAAGTGTACTCTGGCATAACATATGGCGCTAAATGACTCAATAATGTTCAATTAGGTCTACAGGATGATCGTTCTAATACCAGAAACTTTCAAATTTTCAATGTCTTCAATGTATAAAAATATACATTGTCTACGACAATACTGAGTGTTCGGTCACTGATGACACTAGAATGTCAACTAAAATTTCTTCGTGAGTCGCTTTACCTTTGAGAAACATAAATCTAAAAATGTACCATACGTGTACACTAGACTTGTTCTTAACTAAACATGTTTAAACTTTATTTTCTTCAACATAAGACCTTTAATGGAAAAAATTTTATTTACATTTCTTACTTATTTTCCCATGTAGAATAACCTCCTACTGAATGTTTACTCATACCTAGTCAATACTTAGCCAAGTTTAAGTGTACTCGACAAATTTTCAAACTCGATTTTCTCGGAAACTAAGCGATATATGAAAGAAGTTCAGTCTACATTTTCGACTAACTTTTTCACGAAGAATCATCCCTTACCGGGTTGTACCGCCAGTTACAGAACACCCTGTATATCACTGTCTTTATTTTCCCTTCATTCTACAAACACAGATGCAAAACAGTAGATATAAAACCGCACAAATGATACATCTCCATTCGCAGTTTGCATTCCTCTGTGCGAACAAAAGCTTCCACGAGCAAAATGCATCAATCCAAAAAGCAGTCGGGACAGTGGCTGGGGCCGAATCTGTACACCGTATCGCTTCCAAGCATCGTGTACCTCCATTCGTCGACAATTAACCATTCAGTCAGCGAAGTACTCGCGATAACCCTTGGCAAGGTTTCCACGAAGGGCATCCACCGTCGTCGGTGATCTCCAGCACGTGGATGCCAGTCGTTACGCAACTTTCCGTCTCGTTCGCCGGTACAGCGTCGACGCGACCATCTGACACTGGCAAGCTCGTGCGCACCGTGAATCGGAAATAACCAGCGTGTGCTTCTCTGGCCACTAGGCATTATCTTCGTTAGGTCATCCGTCCTCGATTTTGGTGATTTGTTCGCTGGTCGAGTTCGATTTATCCGTATTCGAGAAGCGTATAATTCTACTGGTTCTTAAAGTTACGATTGAAATATGTACAGTGCTGTGAATTACAAACTCAATCCTGTTTTTAAATTTTTCATAATATTAAAACAAAAATTGAGTTATATTTGAAATATTGAATATAAAATAAAACTGAAGGTGCAACAAACAAAAATCTTCTTTTGAAGTTTGTTAATAATTAAATTTCCTCTTAAGATCGTGTCTTTGGCCATTGGTAAATATAAACTCATTGTTATTTCGTTGCGTTTTCATGAAATATTTAGTGAATTTTCCTTTGTTTTTGATTAATTTTTAGCTATACTATCCACTAACTTATTTAAATTTCGTTTTGAATCGGATTTTTTTCAATTTTTTTCTTAAGTTCAACGATACTCTCTATAGGTGACTTCTCCTGATTGTAAACTTTTTTTCGTTAGAATCCACCATAGATTCTCGATCGGATTCAAATCAGGATTCATTGTTGGTCATGATAATAAATCTTTTCGGAAATCTTGAAACCACTTGTGCGTAGTGGCGGCTGTATGAATAGGAGCATCGTCTTATTGAAAAGATTGTCTTTTTGTCTTCCATTTCAATTCAATTCAATGAAA